CAAACAAAGCCAAATTGCAAAGAATGTAATAAATCCCTAATCCCTCTATGCACAAACATTGTCACAAGTCTACAAGCATCAAGAACATTCCAGGAAATAAGACCTCACCAAACTGACAAAAAATAAGGTGCCAACTCTACAGTGATGGAGATACGTGATCTCTTAGACACAGAATTCAAAATAGTTGTTTTGAGGAAGCTCAATAAACTTCAAAAGAATAAAAAGAAACCATTTGGAAATTTAACAGAGATATTAAAATTTAAAAAAGAAAAATCAAACAGAAACTCTAGAGCTGAACAATATCACAAAGGAAATGAAAAATGCAACAGAGAGGCAGGGCCTGTAGCTCAGTGGTTAGGGTGCCAGCTACATACACTGGGGTGTTCGAACCTGGCCCAGGCCTGCTAAATAATGACAACTACAACAAAAAATAGCCAGTGTTGTGGTGGGCACCTGTAGTCCCAGCTACTTGGGAGGCTGAGGCAAGAGAATTGCTTAAGCCCAAGAGTTTGAGGTTGCTGTGAGCTATGATGTCAGTGCACTCTACCCAGGGCAGAGTGCGATAACAAGCAACTCTGTCTAAAAAAAAAAAAAAAAAAAAACCTAACCAAAGCAATTAGGCAAGCAAAAAAGCAGTAACAGGCATCCAAATTAGAAAAAAGGAACTTAAATTGTCCCTGTTTACAGACATGATCATTAAACTCTATAGATCTGGGCTGGGCACAACTAGAATCCTAGCACTCTGGGAGGCCGAGAAGGATGGATTGCTTGAGCTCAGGAGTTGAAAACCAGCCTGACCAAGAGTGAGACCCATCTCTACTAAAAATAGAAAAACTAGCCAGGCATCTGTAGTCTCAGCTACTTGGGAGGCTGCGGCAAGAGGATTGCTCAAGCCCAGAAGTTTGAGGTTGCCGAGAACTATGATGACACCAGGGCACTACCCAGGGGAACAAGAGTGAGACTCTGTCTCAAAAACAAAACAAAACCAAAACACAAACAAACCAGAAAACCCCCTATAGACTCCACCAAAAAACTGTTAGGACTAATAAATGAATGCAATAATGCTACAAGGTACAAAATCTATACACAAAAATCACTGGCATTTCTACATGCCAACAGTAAACAATCTGAAAAAGAAATCAAGAAAGTGATCTCATTTGTAACAGCTACAGATACTTAGGAATGAATTAAACTAAGGACATAAAAAGATTTCCACAATGAAAACTATAGAACACTGATGAAAAAATAAATAAATAAAAATAAATTAGAGAGAACACTTAATAAAAGGAAAGATAACTAGTGGTCAAGAAATAGAAGTATTAATACTGTTAAAATGTCCATAATAACCAAAGTAATCAAAAGATTTAATGTAATCTATATAAAGATATCAATCACATTTTTCACAGAAAATTTTTTAAAATCCTAAAATTCATATGGAACCAAAAAAGATTCCAAATAGCCAAAGCAATCTTGAGTAAAAACAACAATACTGAAGGCATCACTCTACCTGACTTCAAAAATAAACTATAAAGCTATAGTAACCCAAACAGCATGGTACTGGCATAAAAACAGACACACAGAGCAATGGAATAGAATCGGAACACTCAAATACATCCATGTATATACAGCTAAAGGATTTTTGAAAAGGTGTCAAGAACACACACTGGGGCTCGCTACCCATAGCTCAGTGAGTAGGGCGCCAGCCATGTACACTGAGGGTGGTGGGTTTGAGCCCAGCTGACCTGGGCCTGCTAAAGAACAATGACAACTGCCACCAAAAAACAGCCAGGTGTTGTGGCAGGTGCCTGTAGTCCCAGCTACTCAGGAGGCTGAGGCAAGAGAATCACTTAAGCCCAAGAGCTGGAGGTTACTGCGAGCTGTGACACTATAGCACTCCATTGAGGGTGACATAATGAGACTATGTCTTTAAAAAAAAAAAACTTATTAAAATTAGTAAGAGTTTTTTTTTTTGAGATAGAGTCTCACTTTGTCACCCTGGGTACAGTGCCATGGTATCACAGCTCACAGCAACCTAAACTCTTGGGCTTAAGCAATTCTCTGGCCTCAACTTCCCAAGTAGCTGGGACTACAGGTACCCGCCACAATGCCCAGCTATTTTTTGTTGCAGTTGTCATTGATGTTTAGGTATCCTAGGCTGGGTTGGATCCTGCCACCTTCAGTGTACGTGGCTGGTGCCATACCACTGTGCTACAGGCACTGAGCCAAGTAAGAAATTTTGATGGGGGGAGTACATATGAGAAATAGTCAAATATCGGTTACAGTAGAACCTCTGTAAATTTATCACCCAAAGGACTGTAACAAACTCGTCAACAAATGGAGGTGGTCACCATAAAAAACCAGGTCCACTACATGTATGGTTTATGAAAATTAGCTCAACTTAAGGAGGTGGTAAACTATGAAGGTTCTACTGTGTTGGTTCTTTATTCAAGTCTGAAAGTTGGGGAAAGAGGAGGAATTCTCCATCCGTAACAGTAACAAAAATAATCTATATGAAGAAAATGTTAAGGTCTTACTGCATAAAATGAGACCCCAACAAATGGAAAGGTATACCATTCTTGGGAACAATGCCAACTCAACCCAAATTAAGTTATATACTTAACACTTTTCCAGTTAGAATCATCATAGAGGCTTTTTAACCTTTGAGGGGAGAGGATAGTGAAAGAAAAAAAATTATTGCAGTTTTAGGGGTATCCAACCTGTGGCCCCATGATGATTTTGTCAGAACTTTTTTTTTCTTTGAAAACTTTTATTTATTTATTTATTCATTTGTAGAGACAGAGTCTTACTTTATCACTCTCGGTAGAGTGCCTTGGCATCACACAGCTCACAGCAACCTCCAACTCCTGGGCCCAGGTGATTCTCCTGCCTCAGCCTCCTGAGTAGCTGGGACTACAGGCGCCCGCAAAAATGCCTGGCTATTTCCTTTGTTGTTGCAGTTTGGCCAGGCTGGGTTCAAACCCTCCACCCTTGGTATATAGGGCTGGTGCCCTACCCACTGAGCCACAGGTGCCACTCCAGGACTTTTTTTAAACTTATGCTTATCTGTGGGTGTCAAACATCATGAAAAGTATGTATGTACTTTTTTTGCTAATCAGCCTTCAAAACCCTTTCTTTTTTTATTTTGCTAATCAGCTTTCCTTAGCATTTTGTGTAAATTTCCCTGTCTTCTGACTCAGCAGCCCAACTTCTAGAAATTTATCCCACTAATGTTAATGGCATGACAACCTAAAAAATGTTCACTCCAGCCTTTATTTAATAAGACTTGGATGGGGGGGGGGTCACCTGTGGCTCAGTGGGTAGAGCACTGGCCCCATATACCGAGGGTGGCAGGTTTGAACCCTGCCCTGGTTAGCTAAAACAGCAGTGGCAACCGCAACAAAAAAAATAGTTGGGCGTTGCGGCAGTCTCCTGTAGTCCCAGCTACTCAGGAGGCTGAAGCAAGAGAATGGCTTAAGCCCAAGAGTTGGAAATTGCTGTGAGCTGTGACACCATAGCACTCTACCAAGGGTGACACAGTGAGATTTTATCTCAAAAAAAAAAAAAAAAAAGAAAGAAAGAAAGACTTGGAAAGGACTTCAAATGTCTATTCAAAATGTCTACTGAACCAGAAAATAAAAGCCATGTAAAGTATAAAAAGCAAACTGAAGATGGTCTTTGTCTATATTTGAAATTCTTCATAATAAAAAAATGGAAAAAACAAGGTGAGGGAAAATTGGATACTTTGCCTTTTCCTAAGTAAAAATCTCAGAAGTCTACACAGTTAAAAAATGCCCTATTCCTCCCTGCCTTCCTTCTGTACCCCCACATCTCACCATATCTCACCTCAACCAGTGGACTACCTGCACTGCTCACATACCCATTTTCTTTATACGTATGACCCAATCACTTCAAGATCACCTCTGCACTTCTTTACTGAAGTAAAAACAATATTAAAAAGATACAATTTTTTTTTTTTTGAGACGGAGTCTCAAGCTGTCCCCCTGGGTAGAGTGCCATGGCATCACGCTCACAGCAACCTCCAACTCCTGGGCTCAAGCGAGTCTCCTGCCTCAGCCTCCCAAGTAGCTGGGACTACAGGCGCCCACCACAACGCCTGGCCATTTTTTGGTTGCAGCCATCATTGTTGTTTGGCGGGTCCGGGCTGGGGATTCGAACCCGCCACCTTAGGTGTATGTGGCTGGCGCCTTAGCCGCTTGAGCCACAGGCGCCGAGCCTAAAAAGATACAATTTAAACAATTTTAAATTATACTTCGCCATTTTGTTTTTGAATATTCCTGTGTTAGAAATCTGTTGGGATAAGTAACCATCAAAACTCAGAATCATTTCATTTTTCCTAAACTATAATATTTTAAAATTTAATTTATTTTTTTGTTGCCCTTGGTAGAATGCCCTGGCATCACAGCTCATAGCAACCTTGAACTTCTAGGCTCAGGTATCCTCTTGCCTCAACCTCCAAGTGGCTAGGACTACAGGCCCCCATCACAACACCTGGCTTATTTTTAGAGACAGGGTTTTGCTCTTGCTCAGACTGGGGGTCTCCCGGGCTCAGGCGATTCCCCTCTCCTTGGCTTCCCAGATTAAAGGCATGAGCCACCTCGCCTGGCCCAATCCTTTTTAATTTTAAACAAAGAATACCCTTACTTGTTTAAAATATGCTTGTATCCTAGTACATTCATAAATCTCACCCAAATTTCAAAGGTCATGATACCAAATTTGTGTTAAAATCTTTATTAAAAATACTTGGTATTTCTTTCTTTTTTTTTGAGACAGGGTCTCACTGAGTCACCCTCAGTAGAGTATCGTATTGTCACAGTTCACAGCAACCTCCAGCTCTTGGGCTAAGGCAATTCTCTTGCCTCAGCCTTCCAAGTCGCTGGGACTACAGGTGCCCGCCACCACACCCGGTGATTTGTTGTTGCAGTTGTTTAGCTGGCCCGGGCCGGGTTCAAACCCACCACCTTTGGTGTATGTGTGGCTGGCGCCGAGCCTTGGTATTTCTTTATTATTGTCAGGGGTTGGTATGGGCCAAAGGCTAAGAATAGTTTTCATGTTTTTTAGTTTTACATTTTTAACGATCGGTGGTAAATCTAAAGGGAGTATTTCATGACATGTTAAAATTATATGAAATTCAAGTATCAGCACCCATAAATAATTCTACTGGACCACTGCCATGCTCAGTTTCTATCGACTAATACGGTTTTTCACTGCAATAGCAAAATTTAAAGGGGGAGGGCAAAGGCCAAAAACCCCTTAGAATAGGACTTCCTCCAGGTTAAATTTCCTCAGTCTAATCACTTCCCTAGTCATCTACAAATAGAAAGGCAGAAAGGAGTATTAGCAACACCCTGAATGCTACAAATTAGCAAATCAAAAGACAACCCAAATCTCACTGTCAACACTCTCTCCACAAAACCAATGCTAAAGAGGCTGACCACCCAACTAGTGGCTTTCAAATTACTTTACCTTTGAATGGAGGTGTCCGTGAACTAGAACAAGTTCCAGTAATGCTGCTAAAATCCCACACAGCCAAATAGCAATGAGGAAAAACAAAGTTAATAAACATAATTGTCTTTAATCTTCAAATTGTTGGCTACCAAAAAAAGTGAACAAAAAGCAAAGGAACAGAACGAAAAAGTAGACCAATTCAATTGTAACTAGAGTGTAGGATCCTAAATCTTTAGACCTGAAACATCTGATCATATTTTCTGCAAGAAAATAGCTTCTGGCTCCCAGGATGAGAAGTTAAATGCACGGCGTCTGCAAACAGTTTCACAGCTTACACAGCAACAAGTTAGGCTTTCTCCTCTCCAAAAGTACAACAAAATTTGCTCATCTCTTTCTATCACCATTCTGCCAATCGAATGTTGGGGGCTGGGGATAGACAAGCTATCTTTTCTACTACCAACGTCATACTCCACCTAGCTCCTCCTCCCAGCCCCTTCACACCTCAGCCAAGCACTAACTCCTCCCCGGCTCCTTCGCCTCAGCTCAGCACCTCTTCCCTGACCCATCACGCTTCTACCTGCCGACTCGTCCTCCCCTACCTCATCACCTCAGCTGCTTCCTCCAAAAATCAAAGACCCACGAAAATTCCACCAGCAGAAGAGCAAATCAGGGAGCCTATAAAGGAAAAGCCTGGAATTCCTAAACAAGCACCATCTGCTCTTGCGGAGAAACTCACGACACAGCTCCAAAAGAGGAAATAAGGGCTTGGCTCTCACCCAGTTCGTGAGTGTTTACTGAGAGGCTGCTGCGGTCGGGACCCCGCGCAAGGAGCTGAGGATACAAAGGTGAGGAGCAGAATGGCAGCACTCGCTCTCTCTCGGCTCCCACTCCAACGGGGGAGGTAGATAATTTCGATACAGTTCGCCAAGCAGAGGTAGAACTAGATGCCTTTGAAGCCCACCGCGAGGAAAACTTACCTGAGTCCTGAATATTAAAAGCTAAAACGCAACTAGTCGGAAGTGACGTTCTAACTGAGAACCGCAGCCACGTAATTGGCCGCCTCCTTAACTAGCCACCCTTTCCCCGGACAGACCCAAAGGAAAAGTGTGGCTGAAAGTCCACAAGCCGCCCTAGCCGCTGTCGGGGACTCCCACCCTATTACGGATCGGCAAGAGCCAGAGCCAGGACCCACAACCAAAAAAAGAGAAGCCTCGCCAACCTGGGCGCGGGTCCCGCGCCCTGAGGGCAATGGGCTTCAGCGCTCCCGCACGCGCATGCGCGGCCCTCTTTCTCCAGGAGGATTCCTCGGGTCACCTGGACGCCGGCATCTCAACCACCTGCCCCTCTGGGTCCCTTCTCGTCCTTGCCTCCGCGCTTTGGATCTCACCTCCGGCTTTCTGCCATCTCTTTCTCCCGCAGACATTGTTAAACCTGGCCGCAACCGATCTCGGATACCGCAGCTTCCACTGACACGAGCCTCGGCGCGGCTTCCGCTTCCGGCGAGTATTGTGTGTCGCACAGCGGGGCGGGGGCGAGGGGAGGAGGAAGGAGGGAGGCAGTGCTCCGGCGGCTCCGCGCCCCGCACTCCCGGACCCGAAGCCGGGAAGGTAGGTGCTGTCCCGCCGCCACGCCCGGGGCTGGGGCCTGTCCCCGCCGGCCGGCTCCGCACACCGCGTCCCAGCGCCCCGCGTCTGCGTCACCGGCCCCCCGCACGTAACCACAGCTGCCTCCGCCCGCCTCGGGCCCGGGCGGACGTTTTGCCGCCCCGGCGACGTCAGCGCGTCCGGCGTTGCTTGGCTACCCCGCCGTTCCCCCAGTCCCGCTGCCGCTTGCCTCCCCGGGTGAAACTCTGACGCAGTCACCGCCTGTCTGAGTTGCGTCATAGCGACAGGCATCCCACCTTCACATCACACCTCTTTCTCACCTGGACACGCATCCCTCCCTCCCTGCCAACCACGACGTTTCCTCTCCTCCCTCTCCAATCCCCCTGCCCCAGACCTGGCAGAAGAAGACGGAGATGAGGGGTTTGCGGGTGGGACACAGTTGCGGACAAGGCTCAGGAGAGGGTCACAAGGTGGGACCCTGGACAGTGGTAGAAACAAAACGAGGGCGCCCCTGAAGTTTGCCCTTCAACTGAGACACGAGAAATAGGGGGAGAAGAAGGACTAACCCAGAGGCACCCAAGGTCTCAGCAATGACAGTAACTCCAAGTCCTTCCTATTCTTGCCTAACCCTTTTTCCGTTTCTCTTTCTCACCACGTGTAGGTCTAGATGCATCTTGGTGCCCCACTGTGCATACAATTAAACATGTCCTTGGTGAAGGGGCCACCTAATTTCTAGAGGACTGAGGAAGGGGTGGAGTCACTACTTAAAATTAGATTTCCATAGGTAGAGAAAAACAATCTGACCAAACTTCTGTTGAGAGAAGAAAAGCAGGTCCAAATAAGTTACCAGCTCCTACTACAAATTTAACACTTTGATCTGAATCATTGATATATACAGAAATAATCATGTTAACCAACTCATCACATAGCCATTTCTTTCTCCACACAAAGATCTACCAAATTTCCCTCCCTTGGTCCCTTGGTGTGGCGAGGAAAAAAAAAGGTTATGGGGATAGAGAAATTAGGAAACCTGTCAGCTCTTTTACCAAAATGATGCTGGCCCGGGCTTAGTTGTATACTATTAAGTATAGTTATTATACCATGAATGTATCACTTTTCAACAGTTCAGTATGTCTAATTGCACACCAATAGAAATGAGACAGGGTGTATGTGTGTGTGAGAGAGTGTGGGGGGAGGGAAAAAAATGAGATGTTGCATGAAATATTTTATTCCAGGAATTGGGCCCATTTTCTATAGCCTAGTTTATAAGAGGAAGAATAATTTCAAAATTTCCTATAAAGAAGAAATTGTTACTTTTGCGTAATTTATTCAACTTATTACCCTTTGGAAGAATGAGAGGACAGTGTCGCTGAATCAGGCTTAGATTCCAATGAATTATTATGATAAAACTTTTCTGTAACAGTAAACTTTAAAATATATCTAATTTAAGAAATCTTAATACTTTGATTTTTATGACACTTTTTACTTCCCAAACTCTTTCACTATTAGAAACATGTTAAACTAGGATATGGTGGTCTGGAACTATTGGTTTTAAGATACAAATGGAATCAACTGGATCAGGAGAAGTGTGCTGAACTAGAGTTGAAGGAAGCCTCTGATTCTAACAAGAGAAAACAGAGGTAAGAGACAAGAGAGCTAGATTGGGGGTTATGTGTCAGTTTGTTAAAGATAAAAAATATAGATTGCTAGGTGGAAGTTGTAAGTTTTGGAAATGGAAGAAAGAGGTTTAATCTAGTGGAAGAAAAGATGGAGAATAATAAGATAGAACTAAATCTGGAGTTAGGATGTAGCATCGGGACACATTTCAGGCCAAGAATCCAACTAATATTAAAAATTAGTTAATATTAAACTTCCAACTAACATTTATCTTTTCTCATCTTCAAGTTAAATAATGGCAGAGACAAGTCTGTTAGAGGCTGGGGCCTCTGCGGCCTCCACAGCTGCAGCTCTGGAGAACTTACAGGTGGAAGCAAGTTGTTCTGTGTGCTTGGAGTATCTTAAGGAGCCTGTCATCATTGAATGTGGGCACAACTTCTGCAAAGCTTGCATCACCCGCTGGTGGGAAGACCTAGAGAGGGACTTCCCTTGTCCTGTTTGTCGAAAGACCTCTCGCTACCGCAGTCTTCGGCCTAATCGGCAGCTAGGCAGTATGGTGGAAATTGCCAAGCAACTTCAGTCTGTCAAGCGGAAGATCCGGGATGAGAACCTCTGCTCCCAGCACCATGAACCCCTTAGTCTTTTCTGCTATGAGGACCAGGAGGCTGTATGTTTGATTTGTGCAATTTCCCACACCCACCGGGCCCATACTGTTGTGCCACTGGATGACGCTACACAAGAGTACAAGGTAGGGATGAAGACATGTGATGCCAGTGTGGAGAAAGAGGAAGGAAGCAGCAGAGGATGGCATATTGCCTGGATAAAGATTGTACTCCCCTATTGTCCCCTCAGAGCTACATACACAAGGATACCCAGTAGGCCTCATTAGTTGTCCCCTGGCATGAAAAAAAAAACAGTGAGGAGGAGTACCCTAAAATTTCTTTGTGACTTTTGCAACATATTTGAGTCTTATGAGTGAATACTGATATGTTTGGTCTTGGAGTGTATCATACTTTTCATAAGTGAATGAAATAGACAAGATCAAATTAGGAAGAACTAAAAAGTAGTCGGGTTTCTTCATTCTGCCTCCTGCTCAGAATGTTTCTTATTTTCTCATGGGTATTGAGAATAGATAATACCACTTTAAAATGTACCTGCCAGATTAAGCTGGACCATTATGTTGTTTGGTCCCCAGATAATGGGTAATATGGCATCTCATTAAACTGCTGGGACACAGGGTAAATGTTGGAGTGAGGAGACCCGGAAATGTTAATGTCTTAGCACTTTATCATGTACTTTGTTTAATTGAAGCAATAAAATCTTGAAAACAAGATCTAAAGTAATTTACAGCATAACAATCAAGTTTTTATTATAGATGGGGTTAGAGTTGGATAGGAGGACAGGTTTTTAAAGAAAGATAGCAGGGTATAGAAAGTTGCTTTGATGATAATAGACCTAAGCAAGAAAATGGAAAGGGCTGGGGAAGGACATAGAGTTGACAGCTGGACAGCTATTTCAGATTCAGTGAGAGGACAGTTGAGTGAGTTGAGAGGGTGATGGGGACAGACTTGTGGCAAAAGGGACCTGTGGGGAGTTGATATCCCAAATGATAGGCAAGGAAGAGAATAGTTGAGATGGCTAGGAAGCAAACAAATAGATTAACCTCTGAATGCTGAGTGTACCAGCAAAACCCTCCTTTTTCACCTCTCCTTTTTCCTCCCTAACCCTCAGGAAAAACTGCAAAAGTGCCTGGAGCCCCTGGAACAGAAGCTGCAGGAGATTACCCGCTGCAAGTCCTCTGAGGAAAAGAAGCCTAGTGAGCTCAAGGTAAAGGCAGGTTATCCCATTTGGGCTGCTCTACAGGGTATTTGCCTATAGGGGAATTAAGACTTTTCTTTGAGACAGTCTCACTGTGTCACCCTTGGTAGAGTGCTGTGGCATCACAACTCACAGCAACCTCCAACTCTTGGGTTTAAGAGATTCTCTTGCCTCAGACTCCCAAGCAGGTGTGACTACTGGTGCCCACCACAATGCCCAGCTATTTTTTTTGAGTGTAGTTGTCATTGTTGTTTGGCAGGCCCAGCCTGGGTTCAAACCTGCCAGTCCTGGTGTATGTGGCTGGCACCCCAGCTGCTGAGCTATAAGCGCTGAGCCTATGCCCGGCTATTTTTTTGTTGGAGCTGTCGTTGTTTGGCAGGCCTGGGCCAGGGTCGAACCTACCAGCTTCACTATATGTGGCCGGCACCCTAACTGCTGAGCTGTGGGCACCAAGCCCTAACACGTTATTTAATCCACCAGTTTGTTAGAAAAATGCTCTTCTCTCATAAATGATTGTATTTTATTAGACTTGTCATTAAACATTGTACATAAAATTACTTGTTATGAATTAAGTATTGAGGAAAGGACGTCAGAGATAAAGAACAGATGGAATATCATGCAGCTGATGAATAGAATTTACGCTGGTTGATCTATTTTTCTGGTTAAGTTAGTAAAGGAGGCTCTGTGCTGAGAATGTGGGGATATGAGTTTCTTGGAAGATTGAGGAGAGGAGAATTTAGAAGATTCACTGGGGAGGAGGGGAGAATTTACTGACCAAGAGTCCTAGACAGAACTGCTCTACTCAGGGACATTAGGACCACATTCTCATAACACAAGTAAAGTCAAGCATGCTAGATGATGTTGGTTTGTTTCTGGAATAGTTATCCCTAGACCATCCTCCACTCATAGGATCTTACCTATCTTTCAGGCAGAAAGCTACTTCCTGTGCAGCCTTTCCTAACCCTTTAGATATTAACTTTCTTAATTTTCATACAGTTTTGCATTTCTTTCTTTTTTTGTTTTTTTTTTTTTTTGAGACAGAGCCTCAAGCTGTCCCCCTGGGTAGAGTGCCGTGGCATTACAGCTCACAGCAACCTCCAACTCCTGGGCTCAAGCGAGTCTCCTGCCTCCGCCTCCCAAGTAGCTGGGACCACAGGCGCCTGCCACAATGCCCGGTTATTTTTTTTGGTTGCAGCCATCATTGTTGTTTTGGCGGGTCCGGGCTGGGGATTTGAACCCGCCACCTTAGGTGTACGTGGCTGGCGCCTTAGCCGGTTGAGCTATAGGCGCCGAGCCTTTGCATTTCTTTTATAACATTACCCTATTTGTATCATGATAGTTTGGTATCTGCCTTGTAGATAAAATAACCTATCTTCCTTTTTTTTTTTGATACAGAGTCTCACTATGTCACCCTTGGTAAAGTGCTGTGGCGTTGCAGCTCACAGCAACATCCAACTCTTGGGCTTAAGCCATTCTCTTGCCTCAGCCTCCCAAGTAGCTGGGACTACAGAAACCTGCCACAATGCCCAGCTATTTTTTTGTTGCAGTTGTCATTGTTGTTTAGCAGGCCCTGGCTGGGTTAGAACCTGCCAGCCTGGGTATATGTGGTTGATGTCCTAACCACTGAGCTATAGGTACTGAGCCATATCTTCCTAATTTTAAGGAGACTTATGCCCAAATGTAATGTAAGGAAAATTAATTTATAAAATCTGGGCCAGACACAGTGGCTCACTCCTGTCTGTAATTCTAGCACTTTGGAAGGCCAAAGCAAGAGGATCACTTCAAGCCAGAAGTATAAGACCAGCCTGAGCAATGTAGTGAGACCCTGTGCCTACAAAAAATAAGAAAAAAAAATCATGGTGGTGCATGCTTGTAGTCTCCGCTGCTTGGGAGTCCAAGATAGGAGCTATGATGATGCCACTGCCCACTAGCCTAGGCAACAGAGACCCTATCTCAAAAAAAAGACAAAAAATAATTAAAAAAAAAAATAGGCTAGGCACAGTGGCTCATGCCATAATCTTAGCACTCTGGGAGGCTGAGGTAGGTGGATCTCTTGAGCTCATGAGTTCAAGACCTGCTTGAGCTGGAGCAAGACCCCATCTCAAAAAATAGCCGGGCATTGTGGTGGACGCCTGTAGTCCCAGCTACTCAGGAGACTGAGGCAAGAGAATCACTTGAGCCCAAGAGTTTGAGGTTGCTGTGAGCTATGACACCATGGTACTCTACTGAGGGTGACAAAGTGAGTCTCAAAAAAAAAAAGAATTACTGTTGTGTTTATACTATCTATAGTGTAAAATGACATTCAAACCTAGACCTACATTTTTTTATACCCAACAGAACATTAGAAATGTTGAAATGTCAGTTTACTATGCAGGGTTGTCTCTCACCTTGGAGAGCATCCTTGTCAGGAGCATTCCCAACCATGGCAAACCAAAGAATGCCCCATTTCCAACATATCCTCAGAGGCAGGTAAGCCCCTCATTAAGAACCACTGCCCTACAAATATAGAGTGAAAAAAAGGAAAGGGTTTATGGGTTTATAGGAGAGAGAGCCTTTTTGCTTCCCATTTACCATAGTTTGCTTCTACCCATACATCATTCCTAATTAAACACACATAAGTACACACATGAAAAAGGATGTGTGTTTTACTTGAAAGCAAATGTGAATACACCTGAGATAGCAGCAGCAGAACATGAAGCAGAAAGCAGCCCTGAAACCTGACCTAGTCAGCTTCTGCTGGTAACTAGCTTGAAATCCAAAAGTGCCAGGCTTTTAAGACCCACCCTGGCTTTGCATCCTCACTCTCTCTTTTACACTCAGTCCTGCCTTTCAGTCCCTATCCACTTCCTTCCAGAGTTCCAGTCTCTGTTTTTCACTTTGCCTTGCTGTCAGTCACATGACACTTAGAGAATCCTCAGAAGCTCAGTAGAGGTGCAGAAGGAAGGGTGTCCTGACAATCCTCAGAAAGTGTTATGGCTGGAATTTGAATCCTTATTATAAATTTCAGAAATGTTAGAACTGTAAATGTTCTGGCTTAGAGAAAGCATATTGCAAATATCCAGCAGCTGAATTACATACAAACTTCTAGAACCTGCTCCTGAGGTGGGAATTAGAAGTGACTTGAAACTATTTAACAAGTTTAGTCTAAAAGTCCACATATTTTGGACTTTTTGTAACAAGCTATTATCAGCCTCTTATTGTTCTAGCCTAAGCAATAGTGACCCTTTCTCTACAAAACAATAAATTTAGCAGGGCATGGTGGCTTGTGCCTAAAGGCCCAGGTACTTGGGAGGCTGAGGCAAGAGAATCACTTGAGCCTAGGAGTTTGAGGTTGCAGTAAGCTATGATAACGCTATTGCATTCCAGCCTGGGTGGCAGAGCAAGAACCTATCTCAAAAGAATAAATAAATAATAAACACTTACTGATTCTTATACTTTTCCAGTTGATTCACCTATTTTATTAGGTAGATGTTCTATAATAAAGTTATCTTTAACTTTCTGGTATTTGTACTTTCCTTTCCTTGACAGATTGCATTGAAAGTTGGGAATAATAAAGATATCCCTAATATCTTTAATAGTAAATGTCATCATATTATTGAGTCCTTATATCTTAAATATATTTTATTAAAACATAAAAGCCATGTGCAGTGGCTCATGCCTATAATCCCAGCACTTTGGAGGGATGAGGTGGGAGGATCACTTGAAGCCAGGAGTTCAAGACCAGCCTAGGAAGATCCCCATCTCTACAACATAGTAAGATCTCCATTTCTACAGAAACATTTTTAAAGAATTAGGCTTGTCTTGGCCCCTGTAGCACAGTGGTTACGGTGCTAGCCACATACATTGAGGCTGCCGGGTTGGAACCCTGCCCTGCCCAGCCCAGCTAAACAATAAAGTCAACTGCAGTAGAAAAATAGCTGGGTATTGTGGCAGGTGCCTGTAGTCCCAGCTACTTGGGAGGCTGAGGCAAGAGAATCACTTAAGCCCAAGAGTTGGAGGTTGCTGTGAATTGTGATGCCACTGCATTCTACCGAGGGTGACATAGACTTTGTCTCAAAAAAAAAGAAAAAGAAAAAGAAAAGTCAGGTATGGTGGCATATTTCTGTAGTCCCATTTATTTGGGAGGCTGAACCAGAAGATCACAAGCCTAGGAGTTTGAGATTATAGTGAGCTATAATTGTGCCACTGAACTTCAGCCTGGGCAATCTAGTGAGACCCTGCCTTTTAAAATAAATAAATTTTAAAAAGTAAAATTATAATTTTTTCTTTTTTTCTTAAGACAGTCTCACTATGTCACCCTGGTAGAGTGCTGTGGCATTATAGCTCACAGCAATGCCAAACTCTTTGGGCTTAAGCTATTCTCTTGCCTTAGCCTCCCAAGTAGCTGGGACCACAGGTGCCTGCCACAACACCTGGCTTATTTATTTATTTATTTTTGAGACAGATTCTCACTATGTCACCCTTGGTAGAGTGCCGTGGCATCATTGCTCACAGCCACCTCAAACTCCTGGGCTTAAGTGATTCTCTTGCCTTAGCCTCCCAAGTAGCTGGGACTTACAGGTGCCCACCACAACACCCAGCTATTTTTTGTTGCAGTTGTCACTGTTCTGGGCTGGGTTTGAACCCACCAGCCTCAGTGTTTGTGGCTGGCACTATAACCACTGTGCTATGGGCACCAAGCCAACACCCAGCTATTTTTAGAGATGAGGTCTTACTCTGACTCAGGCTGGTCTCTAACCTGTGGTCTCAGGCAATCTATCTACCTCGGCCTCCCAGAGTGTTAGGATTACAGGTGTGGGCCACCGCACCCAGCCTAAAATTGCAATTTTTTAAGGAGTTAATTTAATGAAGAAAATAAAACTTTTTTAAATATTGATTTTTTTTTTTTTTTAATATCTCCCCAGTAGTCTTCCCTACTAAGTCATCAGTGGGGAAGCCATTTTTTACAGAAGGAAATTCCAGTGGAGAGAATAATGGTGTCCTATTAAACTATTTTCAATGGAACTGGAATTCTGTTAATTTATAGACATGGTGGATAGGGGAAAGGCTCCCTTTTGCTTCACTGAGCCTGCTGGTAGAACATCCTCCCTCTTCTCTCAGAGACTAGTGGAGAGTCGCCGACAACAGATCTTAAGGGAATTTGAAGAGCTTCATAGGAGACTAGATGAAGAGCAGCAGGTGTTGCTTTCACGACTAGAAGAAGAAGAACAGGACATTCTGCAGCGGCTCCGAGAAAATGCTGCTCACCTTGGGGACAAGCGCCGGGACCTGGCCCACTTGGCTGCCGAGGTGGAGGGCAAGTGCTTACAGTCGGGCTTCGAGATGCTTAAGGTTCGACCTTTGCCCCCACATAGCCCCTCAGGTCAAGCACAGTATAGCTTTACACATGCTATTCTGTCAGCTGGGGAAGCTCACTCTTCTGCTCTGCTTCCCTAAATCCAGTTCTTTTCTTCTAGAGATACTCAAAGGATCATTTTCTACACTACAGAAAGGCTGTTCTGATTTCTCCTATCCCCTTCTAATCATTTTTGTGTTCTTATGTCTTGTCAGCAATTATGTGCTTACTCTGTACCAAAGAAAAAATTCACTCTTTTGACAGGAAGGAAGTCTAGTCTGAATTAGTAAAAAACTATGCATTAAAATTTTTGTAAATGTAGTTGCCATTACTTTTAAGTCTAATCTAGTGCTAAAAAAGAATAGAAACATAGTTTAAAGGACACAGGCATACTTCAGAGATATTGTGGATTCAGTTCCAGACCATTACAATAAAGCAAATAATGCAATAAAGCAAGTCACATGAATTTTTGATTTCCTAGTGGAGTTGTAATCTTTTTGCTGGTAGAGAGTCTTGCCTCATTGTTAATGGCTGCTGTCTTATCAGGGTGGTGGTTGCTGAAGGTTGGGGTGGCTGTGGCAATTTCTTAAAACAAGACAATGAAGTTTGCTGCGTCAGTTGATTCTTGCTTTCACAAAAGATTTTTTTATAACATGATATTTAATAGCATTTTACCTACAGTAGAACATCTTTCAAAATAATAAACAATTCAGTCATGTCTCTAGGCTCCACTTCTAATTCTAGTTCTCTTGCTATTTCCACCACATGTGTAGTTACGGTACTTCCTCCACTGAAGTGTTCAACCCTTCGAAGTCATCAATGAGGCTGGAATCAACTTCTTCCTAATTCCAGTTAATGTTGATATTTTTACCTCTTCCCATGAATCAATAATGTTCTTATGGCATCTAGAATGGTAAATCCTTTCCAAAAGGGTTTTTATTTACTTTTCCCAGATCCATCAGAGGAATCACTATCTTTGGCAGTCTTGCAAAATATAGTAGAACCTTCATAGTTGACCACCTCCCTACATTGACCTCCTCTTTAGGTTGACCTAATTTCATAGACTGGACATGCATCACATGTATGTATCAGTACAGCAGGCCTAGTTCCTTATGTTGACCACCTCCATATGTTGGCCAGTTTGTTACATTTCCTCAGGTGGTCAACTTACAGAGGTTCTACCGTATATTTCTTACATAAGATTCAAAAATCAAAATTACTTTTTAATCTATAAGTTATAGAATGGATATTGTGTTAAGCATGAAAACAACATCAGTCTTATACATCTCTGTCAGAGCTCTTAAGTAACTGACTAGGTGCACTATCAATGAGCAGTAATATTTTGAAAGGAATCCTTTTTTTCCTGAGCAGTGGGTCTCAACAGCGGGCTTAAAATAGTCAGTAAACCATGCTTTAAAGATGTGCTATAATCTAGTCTTTGTTGTTCCAGTTCTAGAACACAGGCAGAGTAGATTTAGCATAATTCTTAAAGACCCTAGAATTTTGGAATGGTAAATGGGCATTGGCTTCAACTTAAAGTCACCAGGTATGTTAGCCCCTAATAAGAGAGTCATCTGTCCTTTGAAGCTTTGAAGCCAGGCATTGACTTCTCCTTTCTAGCTATGAAAGTCTTAGGTGGCATCTTCTTCCACTATAAGGCTGTTTTGTCTTCATTGAAAATCTGTTTTTATTGTACCCACTTTCATGAATGATCTTAGCTCTATCTTGTGAATAACATGTTGCTTCTGTATCAACACTTGTTGCTTTGCTTTGTACTTTTATATTATGAAGATGGCTTCTTTTCTGAAACTTCATGAATCAGCTTCTGCCAATTTCAAACTTTTCTTCTGTAGCTTCCTCACCCTCTCTCAGCCTTCATAGAATTAAAGAGAGTTAAGGCTTGCTCTGGGTTAGGCTTTAGCTTAAGAGAATGTTGTGACTGATTTTATCTTTTATCCAAACCACTGAAACTTCCTCCATATCAGCAATAAGACTGGTTTTCTTATCATTTATGTTTTCACTAGAGTAGCACTTTTAATTTCCTTCAAGGAGTTTTTTTTTTTTTTGCATTCACAGCTTCGCTACTTAGCACAAGAATTACATACCTTTCAGCCTATCTTAGCTTTCAAAATGCCTTCCTCACTAATAAGCTTAATCAATTCTAGGTTTTGATTTAAAGCAAGAGACATACCACTGTTCCTTTCACTTGAACACTTAGAAGCTATTATGGGATAATTAACTGGTCTAACTTCAATATGGTTGTGTCTCAGAGAATTGGGAGGTCTGAGGTGAAGGAGAAAGATGGAGGAATGGCCAGTTGGTGGATTAGTCAGAACATACACATTTATTGATTAGGTTCATCATCTTACATGGGCATTGTTCATGGCACACCAAAATAATAGTGTTCTACAATAGTAACATCAAAGATCACTGATCACGGAGTATCATAACAAATACAATAATAATGAAAAAGTTTGAAATATTGCAAGAATCACCAAAATGTGACACAGAGATACAAAGTGAATACATGCTATTGAGCAAATGGTGCTGACAGACATGCTAGACAGAGGGTTGCCACAAACCTGGTTGTAAAACATGCAGTATCTACAAAGCACAATAAAGGGCAGTGCAATAAAATAAGGTATGCCTGTACTTGAAATTATGTGTAAATCATATTATTTGCTTTTGATATGTAAATAATACCTCTAAAATGTTTGAAATAATTTGTTTTCTTAAGCAAATCAATGGTTTTAGCAAGGCTGTAGAAAACATTTCTTATTTTAAAGATCAGATTATCAGCATTTGAATCAGTGAGGTTTCATTGTACATTTATTTGAATGTTATGTATTGCTTGGTATTTATTCTTGTGTCCTTTTATGTATGTGTGTTCTGCCTTCCACATTAAACTGGGAAATCCTTGTGGGACAGAGATTTGTCTTCTTTGTCTTCTGGACCCCAAGTATTCTCAAATCAGGATTGGCACACAGTTATTGACGTTTATTAACCGATGCCAGACAGGGGATACCAAACCACAACAGGAAAGTGTGATTTGTTCTATGTCACCAGTCTGGAACTATCTATACTGATCCTAAAGGAAACTGAGGTATGTGGTAGGTACTTGGGGGACAGAGTAAAGAGCAGACAATCCTGTCCCTTTCAGGGAGCTCCCAGTATCCTTGAGGAGCAAGACAAAAGCATAAGAAACCATTTAGAAGTAATAAAAATTACCAAGCTTCATGAGTCCAAAAGTTGAAAGTGGGGATTTGGTTGGGAGAAGTGCACTCAGATCCTTCTGGAGCTCTTCCTCTTGCATTGTGACCTACAATTTGCCTTGTGCCTATTTTATAGATCTGGAACTTTTGGGAGGAGGGGGAACCTTTTGCCTTCACGACCATTGAATATCAGGACCAATATTGCTTTCTTTTCTCCTTCCTTCTAGGATGTCAAAAGTACCCTGGAAAAGTAAGTGATAATTGTATCTCTTTGAGTGATACAGGTATTGGCTTAGAGATGAGGGGTATTGTAAGGAGGGAAAGAGGGAAGATAGGAAAGTCATGCAATGCCAGGGTATGGGTAAAGGTTTATTGCACCCATGAAGCTAGGGAGAGAACAAATTATTGGGAGTAGTAATTTAATACCTTTTCCCCTTTGATCATCAAGGCTTCTTGAGAATGATAAGGTTGAAAAAAAGAGAGAGAGAGAAAATGATAAGGTAGAACCAGGGTCTGTTTGTACCCTATGGGTGGCATTGTGTCTGAACAAGATAGTAGGAGGAAGGGGTTAGAAGAACAGGGAGGGTGACTTCCCATTTGCATGCAATATTAAAAAATACCCTAGAAAGTTCTAAGGCTCGTTTTCAAGATAGGATCTGTCCAGGGGATCCATATGCCTTTATTAGATTAATAAAACAATAGCTACTCGGGAGGCTGAGGCAGGAGAATCGCCTGGCCGGGGAGTTGGAGGTAGCTGTGAGCTGTGTGATACCTCAGCACTCTACCCAGGGTGAGACTCTGTCTCTACAAAAAAAAAAAAAAAAAATAGGTGAACTCCTGATTTCAGGGAGGAGGGAGAAAGTGGGAAGAAGGATAATTTTAGTTTACCCCTAAAGACAACATCTGAATACTCATTTGACTGTAGCTTCCCCCTGACCCTGCCCTTTCTTCCTCTCTCTCTCTCTCTCTCTCTCTCTCTCTCTCTCTGTTCCTCCTAGATGTGAGAAGGTGAAGACCATGGAAGTAACTTCAGTATCCATAGAGCTGGAAAAGAACTTCAGCAGCTTTCCCCGACAGTACTTTGCCCTAAGGAAAATCCTTAAACAGCTAATTGGTGAGTTTGTTCCCAAAAGGAAATGAGCAGAGGGAATCACTAGAGAGAAGAATGCCTTTAGGTCCTGTCTCATATGGGCTTTAGTTATCCGTTCTCTCAGTTTTCTTGCCCACACCTATACCTACCCTTTATTTGGCTTTCATTCTGACCCTGAGTCACACAACTCACAGTGAGAAGTGTTAGGTGTCATCTATTCTTAGGTCCACACTTTTCTAGAGACCCAGAAAGGTAAAACAATTTGCCTACATCGTCAGGTAAAATGACCATATAATTTACAATCTATACTAGGACAATCTTAGAAGTAAAAGGGAATGTAATTAATATTAACATTCAGGAAAAATAGTCATAAAGCAAGCCTGTTATAGGAAAACAGACACATGACCTAGACCATTTGCTTTCTTGTTCTGTGTACTTCTGAATACTTTTCATTCTTTCTGGCCTTCACATTGTGCCTTGTACTTCACACAGTCAGATAAATGATGTCAGAGGGAAATGGAGAGAGGACTGGGCAGGAACCTATACTGTTAGCCCATATAGAATGAAGAGATTATTACCTGTTCCTTTTAGGGTCAGGGTGCAAAATGAGCCATTGTTCCTTCCCCTCCTTGAGGTGACACTGTGGATTGAGAAAGTTAATCAAACCATGGTGTTCTGGAGACCTTTAAGTGACCAGGTTCTCTAACAGCAGAATGGAAGAGTAAGGCAGGGGTGTTCAGCTATTCCCATCCTCATCTAGCTCCCCACTCTGGCTTCTCCCGCCAGCGGATGTGACCCTGGATCCTGAGACGGCTCATCCTAACCTAGTCCTGTCAGAGGATCGTAAGAGCGTCAAGTTCGTGGAGACAAGACTCCGAGATCTCCCTGACACACCAAGGCGTTTCACTTATTACCCTTGCGTCCTGGCTACTGAGGGTTTCACTTCAGGTCGACACTACTGGGAGGTAGAAGTGGGTGACAAGACCCACTGGGCAGTGGGTGTGTGCCGGGACTCTGTGAGCCGAAAGGGCGAGCTGACTCCACTCCCTGAGACTGGCTATTGGCGGGTGCGGCTGTGGAACGGGGACAAATATGCAGCCACCACCACACCTTTTACCCCTTTGCACATCAAAGTGAAACCCAAACGGGTAGGCATATTCCTCGACTATGAGGCCGGCACAGTGTCTTTTTACAATGTCACAGACCGTTCTCATATCTATACCTTCACTGATACTTTTACTGAGAAACTTTGGCCCCTCTTCTACCCAGGCATCCGGGCTGGTCGGAAGAATGCTGCACCACTTACCATCAGACCCCCAACAGATTGGGAGTGACAGGTTGGGACATGGGAATAACTGGGGTGAGGCAGGGTCAAGTGCTATGGGGCCTTCCTTCCTGTGTCCTGCTGGAGCGTCTTCATGACTGCCTGGTTCCAGTCCCGAATCATCTTGGAGAAGCACCTCGGTTTCTAGGATGGTTTGTGTGAAGTCGTTAGGACTGGGCTGTGAGGAGAGAGGATAGCAGTGTCTTCCCTCCTAACTGTCAGGGTGGGGAGCTGGTTCCCAGGGGATTGTCTCCCATGAAGTCCATCAGGTTTCTATTGCATAAGGATGGGTTGGGAAGGAAGGAAAAGCTTTTCCAGAAACAAAAAAAGTCTGTCAGAGATTCTGACTTGCTCAAACTGGAGGAGGAAACGGAAATCCCTGCACATCCTTTCGGGGGATTATTTGACTCAAAATAGTCTTGTTTCTTCAGGTAGATCACAGGGGTCTGTGTACCTCTAAATTGAAGAAAGATGAATGACAGTTGCTTTCGTGGGTCTAGAAGTTGAGGAGTTTTTCTGAGGGCAGAGATTGGGCATTAAAAAGGTTAAAACAAGGAAAGTCAGGGAATGGGGGATAAAGGAACAGATTCTTAGAGACCAATGAAGGGGAGTGGGGTTTCTTTGGTCTTCTATTCCCAGGGTAAATTTGCCCTTATGAGTGGGATTTGCCAGGGGTAGGAGTGTGGGGAAAAGGAGAGGGTGAGAAGAAAGCAGAGGAGAACTCAAGTCCCTGCCTCAGCCATCAGCAGAGTTGGCTGATTCCATGCCTTCTTATAATTGGTTGTCTCCAAGAGGTCAGTCAGAGGCAAGGAGGAAGAGGTCCTGCAAGCCACATCCACCTTTTCACTGTTTCCCCAAGGGAACTTGGAAAGGAGGGTCAGGGATTAGAGGAAAGAGAAAGGTATTTCTATCCAAAGCCCTGGCCTTAAAGAATGTTACCAAGTAGCTACTCTCAAGTTGTCAGTCTTGTTACCAGCCAAGGTGCCTGAGCCAGAATGGAAAAAAAGTAATGTAGTTTTTCTTACCCTGAGGACAGGGTAGAAGAGGATGGTGTGTGTACTGAAGGGCCAGAAAGGCAACTTCTTTTGGCCTGTATGAATCTGGCCTAGAACTGTTGGTTACAAGAGCCAGACTTTTGTGTGTTTGTTGCCACCCCTCACCCTTTACCATTCCCCTTTTCAGAGAATGTAAATCATTTTAATGTTAGGCCAAAATAAATAATTTTAGGGTACATATGTTGTCATAAAAGGTAAAGCAATGCATGCCAAACCAAACTAAAACTATTTGGATTATCTGTTCTTTGGGCAATCTTCACAGAAGACTGAAACAAGAAACTGCAGTTTATTGAGGGCATTTCAGTTCCTCCTACCACCTCAACAGGATTTTGTCCAGACTCTCCTCCTCTTACCTTTGTGCCTTGACTGTGGTTCTTTGTGGCAAGATACTTTGGTTGGTAAAAATAATATGGAACAAAGGATCCACTGAAGTGATCTCTGTGTCATGTGGTAATTTGGTGATACACTTGTGTTGATGTGTAAGAATCACTGGGTGTTAAACATGCACGTTCCTATATCTCACCTTCAGTGATTGATTAAGGTCCAAGGTCTGGGGTAGGCCTGGGCATCTACATTTTTAACACATCTCTCATTTGAGTGTGAGGATCCTTGTGAAACTAGTCCCAGAGAGAGTTTCAGCCATTTCCTTCTCTGAGCTGGAGGACTGGTTCTCTGCCGTACCCTCGCAGGGAATCTGAGAAAGGAGAGAGGTTTTTTGGTTTTTGGTTTTTTTTTTTGATACAGTCTAACCTGTTGCCCTGAGTAGTGCTGTGGCATCAGCCTAGCTCACAGCAACATGGGCTCAAGATCCTCTTGTCTCAGCTTCCCTAGTAGCTAGGACTACAGATGCCTGCCACAATGACCAGCTAGTTTTTCTTTTCTTTTTTTGAATTTGAGACAGTCTCACTTTGTTACACTCAATAGATTGCCATGGCATCATAGCTCATAGCTCACATTCCTGGGCTCAAGTGATTCTCTTGCCTCAGTCTCCTCAGTAGCTGGGACTATAGGCACCCACCACAATGCCCCGGCTATTTGTAGAGACAGGGTCTCTGGCTCAGGCTGATCTGGAACTCCTGAGCTCAAGCAGTCCGCCCACCTCAGTCTCCCCAAGTGCTAGGGTTACAAGAGTGAAGCACTGTGACTGACCCCAGGGGAAAGGTTTTTGTTTTTGAGACAGTCTCACTTTGTTGCCCTCGGTAGAGTGCCATGTCATAGCTTACAGCAACCTCAAATTCTTGGGCTCAAGCGATTCTCTTGCCTCAGCCTTCCTAGGAACTGGGACTACAGGCACCCCCACAACACTAGGCTATTTTTGTTTGTTTTAGCAGGCCCAGGCCTTTTTGAATCCAGCAGCTCCAGTGCATGTGGCCAGCGCCCTAACCACTGAGCTAAGGGCGCCTAGCCCAGGGGAGAGGTCTTGACTTACGTTGTCCTCCTGTGTAAGGGTTCATTGATATTCTGTCCCTCCAGCTCACGTGCCTCTGCTTGTGACCTCAGGAACTGATAGTAAGTCATAGGTCTCTTGACAGAACAAATGGGAGATGAAGGGGTGTGAAGTGGATGTCTGTGGGGAGTGAGATGAAGTCTTGGGCAGAGGTTGCTGTAGACAGGCTTGTGTGCTGTATCTAGGACCAGGAGTTAGAAACCATTCTCTCAGCAATTGGGGATCATCCACTGTGTGTCCAGCACTGCCTAACAGGAATGTGTTTCTTTGGTAAGTAGTAAAGTAGGAGGAAGCTGTGTTGAGCACAGATCTTTCCTCTCCAGCACGCTCATGGATCTTTCCGCTTTCACCCCCACCGGTATCAGAGCTTTATTTGGGTTATACAACCTCTGTTACTTTGATCTGTTGGTCTTCCAGGCATCTATCTCCTTTGGCTTCAGGAGAATAAGGTGGAAGGACTGGCTGGGTATAAATTGCACATCACCAACACCCCAACCTATTTGTATAAAGAGACCAGTCTTTTATCCTGAAAATTTTTAGCAAATTTAAGATCCTGCCCTGTTTCACTAAAGCTTTGCAGTCTTCCTAGTGCTACATAAAATTTGAGGAAAACGAAGAAACGAAACTCCTAAACAGGGACCCTGGGCGTGGATTGCAGGACAAGGGTTTACAAACATGTCTGTGCAGCCGCGGGGTGGCGCTTGCGGCCGAGGGACTACACTTCCCAGGGGGCGTTGCGGGGGCGGGGCCTGTGGGAGGTCTTGCGACACTCGCGCTGAGCAGATGGCGGGGCCCGTGAAGGACCGTGAGGCTTTCCAGAGGCTTAACTTCCTGTACCAGGTGAGTCAGCGACAGGGGCCGCAGGGGAGCGGGCCCGGTACCGCAGGCCCCTGAGTGACTGCTCCCTTTCCGCAGGCCGCCCACTGTGTCCTTGCACAGGACCCCGATAACCAGGCTCTGGCGCGGTTTTACTGCCACACGGAGAGGACCATCGCGAAGCGGCTTGTCTTGCGGCGGTGAGACTGCCGTGGGGCCTGGCGGCGGGTGGGACGCAGCAAAACGGGAGAGGGCGCTCGGGCGCCGGGACCATCTTCCTTCTCCGTCCCCAGGGACCCTTCGGTGAAGAGGACTCTCTGTCGTGGCTGCTCTTCTCTCCTCATCCCAGGCCTCACCTGTACCCAGCGCCAGAGACGTGAGTGCTCCTGCAAAGGCGGGGTGATTGCGGAGCATGGGGGAGGGGGTTACGGGAGGCCGAACAACTCCTTCCTACCTTAAGATGGGGGTCGGGCTTGGCAGTCTCATGAGTTGGCCTTCTCTTCTCAGCTCTGAGTTAAGTTGCTAACTCCACTTTCAAACATATGGTTTGGACTTGGCTTTTTTCCCCAATTTGGGCAACAGAGAGATGATGTTACCGTATGAGGCAACCTCACCCATGCTTAATAAATGTTTGGTTTTTGGCCTTGTGGAGCAAACGATTCCCATCACCATTCATTTATTAAAGAAATATTTCTTTTCTAAAATGTGTAAAGTGGGCGGCGCTTGTGACTCAAAGGAATAGGGCGCTGGCCCCATATACCCGAGGTGATGGGTTCAAATCCGGCCTGGCCGAAAACTACAAAAAAAAAAAGGTGTCAAGTACTGTGCTTAGATCATTATTCTTACTGAAATTGCAGCCTTTTCCAAACAATGTAGGAAAAGACTTTAATGGGAGGGGTAGAGTGCTAAATTATTTATGTCTGTTCTGGGAAGGTTCCTGATAAGCAAAGGGAGTGATAAATGGAAATTCTAGCCATGTGTGAGGCCTCTGAGACAAGCCAGCTTGTGGTGCTATCAAGGAAGTGAGAGTTCAGGGGCAAGACAGGACGCTGTAGAGGGAAACAGGATAGATCTTGAAGAAAATCTTGTCAAGGAGTTTGTATTTTCTTTTGAGACAGAATCTCACTATGTAGTCCCTGGTAGAGTGCTGTGGCATCACAGCTCACAGCAACCTCAAACTCTTGGGCTTAAGCAATTCTCTTGCCTCAGCCTCCCAAGTAGCTGGGACT